TAAAATACTTATATATTCTTAATCTTTTTAAATTAGTTAATTAAGTCTTGTATAAAAACTATGTCATTTTCAATCATTTTATATCTAAATTTATTTTTTTATTATTTATCCAAACAAATTTAACTTTTCAAACGACTTTTTAAAAATATTAATCCAAACATAATTTTATTTTCCTTACCTCTTTTAAATAGTCACATATATATCTAAATTAGATATGTACTATTTATAAAAATCCATGTCCTTTTAAGTCATTTGCATCTAACTTACTTTTACATATATCATCAAACAGGTTCAAACTTCTTAAACTGACTTTTTTACAAGGTTTCAACTTCTTAAATCACATTACACTATCTGACTTTTATTCTATCTGATTTCTGTAAAGTCAAATTGAAAAAAAGTTACTTCTGTCACCGTTATCCCAAAGACACCCTAAAACTCTTTAATTGATTGCTCCAAGCTCTGGCATAGCTCTCTGCGCTCCTAGAGGGATTCCACACTCAGCTGCTCAAGGTAATCTGAGTTGTTCAGCGAGCTCCTTCAACTCTTCAATCCCCATTGTAGTAACCCAAGAATTGGAAGAAAAGAGGGGGGCTGAGAGACTCACACAAGAAGAATGGAAGACGAGGCGTCGCGGCTTGAAGATGATGGTGATTAGTGGTGAAGACGAGTTCGACGGCAGTGCTCACGGATGGAGGAAAACGAAGGTCACGATCTTCTCCCTGGCTGTGAGAGATTGAAGATTATGATGATGGAAGGAATGGAAGTGGCGATTGACAAAGGAAAGGATTGGGTCGCCGTCGATGGTGATGGTGACTGTGGAAGGGGTCGACGATGGTTCATGGAGTGACGGAGAGATGTGACGATGTGAATGAAAGAGAGGGTGAAGGTCGCGACCCTCTCTGCCCTCAGTCCGCTCTGCCTCAATCCCCCACGTTCTTGTTAATCGAAGAAGAAGAATTGAGTCAGGTGCCCTAAGCTTGTCTCCCGACGGTGAGTCTCATGTGTTGGTCCTCTTGTGTAATTATTGAAATCTGCTGGTCCTTGCCTACAATTCATCAAGTCCTTCTCTTTCAGCTTTATCTTCAATTTTTCCCAAATTTTTTACAATAAATGAAGATATTGTAATATCATATTTTTCAAAAAACCAATCAAGTAAGATAAATAATAAAAATTGATATTTTTGTCATTTTTAGCAATATTTTCATTCACTCACAATTAATCCAAATTAATCATAATAAATGTATTTAAGCCCAATAAATATGATAAAATCCTCAATAAGATATGAAAAATCATAATAAAATAAGTACTTATCACACAGCGTAACTAAAGGCCTCTCTCAAGTCTCTCCTTTCATTTTTGTAATTTTCAAGATTGCCCTGCCATTTTACTGGCAACTTGTTCCAGGTCGTTTGTAAATAACGATACACCTACTTGTAAAGATAGTCACTTAAGTTTAAAGATATTCAAGGTACAATATACACCTCGGAGGAGTACTTTGTTCAGCAACTCTCTGATATGAGATGAACCAAATTGGCCTGAAGGTGGGCTTAAGAAAAATTAAAAATGAAACAGATGTATACAATAACTTTTTTTAGTCATTTGAAATTAAAACAGTCACAGGAGATGAACCCCACACTACATTTGGCTAGACAAGTACTTTTCTGCATTTTAGTGGGCTCATTCTTATGTAGGTAGGGTAGGGGTATCATTTAGTATCCAAAAATGTTTGAAACATGATTGTTTTTAATAAAAGGTTAACTGTGTTTAGCCCAAAAAAAAATTGTTTGCCACAGGTCCAAACTTCTCAATAGCTTTTTCCTGAAGAATGAAAACCAAGGAGCACTTAAAAGATTATGCCTTTAACTGAAGTATCAATTACGCATATTTTCCTATTATATATATATATATATATATATATTCATCAACTGCGTGGAAGTTTATCAAAAAAATAAAAGAAATTATACAAAAATATATGAAATGATACGAATTTCATAAGGTTTTAGTTAAGAAATATTTTTGTTTTTATTTGAATTTTATTTCTTTTTGGTTAATTAATTTTAATTTAGCTTGCTTAATTGAAAAATGAAACTCTAACGCGTAAACATCATTTTATTTTTTCTTTGTAGAAACAATACTCTACTTTGTGGTGGTTATTTTAATACTATTAGTACACTTACGTTATTTACATTTGCTTGTGTACATCAAAAATTATTGATTATTATCGTAAGAAAAACGCAATTCACATAATGGATCAAAATCAACGGATTTTCAACCCATAATCAAACTGAGCCCTAGTTTTTAAATTGCAGAATCTCAACAACATCGAAGACCAAATACAACTTTGTGTGAATTCAGGCAGCTTTAATTAGCTTTTGTAGTCTTCGGCCAAACATGTGTATGTGAGAAACACAGGAATCAGTTTCGGTGCTCATCGCTTTGATGAGCACCCTAAACTTATTAGAGTTGAATCATCCATATTTCATTTAGATAGTCCAGATTTGATTTATTGTTTATTTTATTTATTCAAAATAGTTATTTTAATATATATAGAATCTAAAATAGAGATAATCTCTTAATTATCATTCTTTTAAAAATAGTTTTTTCCATTTAAAAATAATAATTAAAAATTTAAATATAAACCGTTAAATCAAATATAGACAGTCCAGATTTGATAAGTTTAGGATGTTCATCAAAGTGATGAGTATTGAAACTAGTGGTTTTTTTCAGGACAAATCTTCTGATGTCAGCAAAAGCTTGCCGAAGTGTTCTCCCATTTCAATTTGTAACTTCAAGATCTCTAAATTATTGTGAAGGCAAGGTGGTCGAGCACTTAATTAGCTATAGACAATTTATAAAGAACGAGAAAAAAGTGAAAGAATCATTCTATTTTTTAATGACTCTTATGTTGTCATGAACGCGAAAGGTATCTATTGCGCATATATATTAATATAAGTGAGGTTAGATTGATTTAATTTATAGCTTCTATGTTACGTGCGTACCTACCCTTCAATTTCTTATTTCTTTTAACGTCGTCCCCACCTATTTATCTTTTTTCCGTCAAAGTAATCTGGTATTCATTCTTTTCGTTAATGTGTTGTGGAAGGGAGAGTTTGGTATAAAATGACATAACCGTGAATGGGGATCAAGCAGTGAACATTGTGGTCATCATAATTATATTCATCATCCTCAAATTAACCTGAACAAATGGATATGGATGATTTTCTTTCATTTGCTGGTTTTCCAGCATCGGCAGCTTCAGGGACTGAAGATTTTCCATTTGCTGCTTCTTCACCAGAGGGTTTAAGTGCAGAAGAGGAGACTGAGTTATACGAAACAAAATCAGGGGTTCAGTGCAGTGTGATCACGAGCTCAAAAGACACAGCACTGCACGTGGCAATCACTGATGACAGAGAAGAAGTTGTGGAGAGGATGGTAGAATCAATCCTCTAGTGTACCAACAAAAGAGCTCTGAAAATGAAGAATAACAGAGGGGAAACCCCTCCGCATCGCGCAGCCACTAGAAATTCCGTGACAATGTGCAAGTGTATCGTAGAGGCTGGACAGCTCATAGGTCTGCATTTGCTCAGCATTACCAACAAATGGGGCGAGAGGCCTATCTTCACGGCGGCTCTTCACAACCGTAAACCTGCCTTCGATGCTGCCGATGAAGCATACTCGCACGACACAGAAAAACCATATCAGTTTCTTAGAAGAACCGTCGGTGCTGGAGATACTGTCCTACGCGCTGCCATTAAGAGAGAGCACTTTGGTGAGCATCCATCACCGGTCGCTAGGTTTCTTCGATGATATATTAGTTGTTAACATACACTTGCAGATTTGGCATTCCACATGATCAAGGTTTACCCAGATCTTGTCGACAAATCCGACGTGAAGGGACTCACTCCTCTTCATGTCCTTGCCAGCAAACCTTCTGCCTTCAGAAGTGGCGTGCGCCTCTAGTGGTGGAGGCTAAAGGTATTGTGAAGGAGAGAGAGGATGAAGAATAGGACAAAAGTGTTTGACTGAATAGTGTATTGTATATAATAATGAGAGCTTGTACACTATTTATAGAAGAGCACTACACGTAATAGGCAGAGCAGGCAGAGTACTATGCATGACAGCTAATGCCAGCTAACACATTCAGTTACATATAACTTAATCTCATAACTAAATTACTTAACTACACTATCATTCCCCCTCAATTTGATGTACTCGTCTATTCAAAGTCTCTTCTTGAAATTAATAAATCTTGAACTTGAAAGGGGTTTAGTTAACCCATCAGCTATTTGACACGAAGATGGAACACGAGTGACTTGTATTTCTTTCCTAATGGCTCGTTCTTGAACAAAGTGCAAATCTAACTCAAGATGTTTAGTACGAACATGTAGGACAGGATTGGCTATAATAAGAACAGCTCCAAGATTGTCACACAAGATTAAGGAACACCAGAGATCTTTAGTTTTAACTTAGAAAACAAAGACTTGAGCCATAGAACTTCTGCTACAATGGAAGCCATGTAACGATACTCAGCTTCCGTGCTAGGCCTTGCAACAGTGGTATGCTTCTTTGAAGACCAAGAAACCAGATTGTTACCAAGGTAAATAAAGTAGCCACTTGTGCTTTTGCGGTCATTACAATTAACAGCCCAGTCAGAGTCACAGTAGGCAATAACAGATCGAGTAGCAAAAGGAGATAGACGCAGACCATGATGAATTGTTCCAGCAAGATATCTGAGGATTCTCTTGACAGCTACCCAATGATCCCTAAGTGGAGACTGCATAAATTGACACACTTGTTGACTGAAAAGCAAATTTCTAGCCGTGTAATTGTAGTTATATTGTAAAGCACCAATAATAGATCTGTATAATTAGGTTTATCAAAAAGAGTAGAGCCTTCCTTATAGAGTTTCATACTAGAAACCATAGGAGTAGCTACCCCATTCGCTTTTGACACACCAGCCTTGGTCAAATATCCGAAATACTTTGTTTGAGATAAAACAAGGGAACCATCAGTGGACCGATGCACTTCAATTCCAAGAAAGTAGTTAAGACTACCAAGGTCCTTAAGAGTGATCTTTATTCATGGCTGCAATAATGTTGTGATAGTAGTAAGAAGAGGTACCAGTGAGGATGATGTCATCTACATAAGCCAAAGCATATATAACCTCTGAACCAGATATCGAACAAAAGAGAGACTGATCACACTTACTACTTTGAAAACAAGCTTATGAAAAACACTAGATAACTTTTTGTACTAGGAACGTGGGGCCTGCTTTAGCCCATACAGAGCTTTATCAAGTTTACAGACAAGTGCCTTATTCTTATGCTCATAACCAGGGGGTTGCTGCATATATACCTCTTCATGAAGTGTGCCATTAAGAAAGGCATTATTAACATCAACTTGCCTTATGGACCAGTATTAAGAAACAGCAATAGATAGTACTACCCGAATAGTAACAGGTTTGACAACAGGACTAAAGGTCTCATTGAAGTCAAATCCTTCTTTCTGATGGAACCCTTTTGCAACAAGCCTGGCCTTGTACTTAGCTGTACTACCATCAAGATTTGTCTTTTGTTTCCACACCCATTTGCATCCTATAGCCTGTCAGTTGGAAGGTAACTCAACAAGATGCCATGTTTTATTTCTCAACAAGGCTTCATATTCTTCATCCATGGCTTTCTTCCATACCAAAGATGAAAGAGCAACAGTGACAGAAGTTGGTTTTGTTTCAGCAATATAGACCTTAGGCTTGAAGATACCATTCATGGACTGAGTGACTACATGTCTGTCTGGTACTTGAGGAATTGGAGTTGATGACTGACTTTGCAAAGACTAAGATTCAGTGTGATTATTAGGTGAAGATGACACCATAGTTCCATGTGAGGAATCATAACTAGATTCACCATCAAAAGACCTGCAAGCACCAGAACTTTCTGCAATAACAGGATCACTAGTATCATTGCACTGAGAAGAGACACGAGTGATGATAGGTGGTGAAGGAAGTACAGAACAAGACGAAGTAGAATTTGAAGAAGACTCAGAGCAATAAGACAAATGTAGATAAGGAAACTCAGATTCATTAAAGATAACATCCCTTGAAATATAGGTTCTACCATTTGGATCCCAACACTTGTATCCTTTATGAGCAACGCTGTAGCCAACGAAAATACATGTGACAGATCAAAAATCCATTTTATGCCTATTGTAAGGTCTAGTAAGTGGAAAACAGGTACACCTAAAAGCTCTGAGATGACCATAACTGGGAGCCTTTCCATACAGCTTTTGAAATGGAGAAACTCCACCAATAGCTTTATTTAGCAGTCTATTAAATAAGTAAACAGCAGTATAAAATGCTTCAACCTATAATTGGAAAGGTAAAGAAGCATTAGCTAATAGTGTTAAGCCAGTCTCAGTAATTGATCTATGTTTTCTTTCTGCAAGACCATTTTTCATGAGTATAGGGGCAGCAAAGTCTATGAACAATACCATTATTTTTAAGAAAAAATGCCCTATCTTCAAATAATCAGCACCTGAATTAGACTGAAAAGCTTTCATCGAGCAACCAAGCTGTAATTCAGCCATCTTTTTGAACTCAAGAAAAATATCATATACTTGAGATTTTGAGTGCATTGGGTAAAACTAGGTAAATCAGGTGTAAGCATCAGTAAAATGCACATAATACTTAAAACCATCAAGGGATGTGTAAGGAGCAGGACCCCAAATATTTGAGTGAACTAACTCAAGAGGACGAGAATATTGAGTAGAAGACAGAGTATAAGGTAAACGATGAGCTTTACCAAGACAACAAGCATTGCAAAAATCAAACATAGATTTCTTATTAGCAGTTGAAAGATTACAGAGTTTCATAAACTGAGATACAACGGGAGACGAAGGATGACCTAGTCTATTGTGCCAAATACGAAAAGAAGACACATCAGTTTTATTCAAGGCAGAAATAGAGGAATTACAATCATTGGAAGTAGACACATGGGTAAAGTGTTGAGCGAAAGCAGAAGGCTGAGCTAAAGACTGAGCGACAGGATGTTGAATGGACAAAGAGACTCCATGAAGACTTGAACGCTACCGTTTGAGATGACCTTGATAGATGATACGATTAGTTTGCAGATCCTTGATCACACAAACATTAGAAAAGAAAGCAATCAGAATTGGATTATCAAGACATAACCAAGGGATACTTAGTAAATTCTTAGAAATTTCAGGAACATGGATAATATTTTTAAGTTTAAGATTATACTGAGAGTGAGGAATAACAGACGAAGAGGAGCCAGTGCAATGAACTAAAAGGCCTTTACCATCACCAATAAAAATTTGATCTACAAATTTTTCAGTTGATTTATCCATGATGTTCTTCTCATCAGAGGTCACATGACTGGTTCCACTAGAATCAAGCTACCAGTGTGGATTGATAACACATTCAGCTGTCACAACATAAGCACTGTGATTTTTCTTGGAATTCTTGTTATCCAGATTCAGTCCTTGAAAGGACTTATCAAAGTGATACCATCATTCTTTAGCATTATGGCCTCTCTTCTCACAGATTTGACATAAGTCTATGATCTTTCCAGCTGAGGAGCTATTGGACGAGAAGTTATTACTTCCATTGGAGCGTCCTCGACCGCGATTGTTACGGCCGCCTCCCTTGAAACGACCACCTCCTCTATTTGGAGGTTTAGTATGGGCAATATTTGCCGTAGCAGCCATCACCAACTTTTGGTTCTTTTCAATTCTGAACTCTTGAGTTAGGAGCAAAGACTCGATTTCATCAACCCTATACGGATATGATCTTGTAGTCACAGCAGTGATCCATGAATCATACTCTTCAGTGAGACCATCGAAAATGATCTCTATATGGTCCGATTCACTGACCGGATGGCCAATGCTAGCAAGAGCATCTATGATTGCTTTAATTTTCAGCAGATACTCATTTGCAGTCATGCTACCTTTCTTGGTACTCTTTAACTACGCCTTGAGCTGTTGAACTTTTGCTCTGGTTTGAGATGTGAAATGACTGTGTATCTTCTCCCAGATCTGCAACACGGTCGTACAGCCCACCACTCGAGTGAGCATTGCATCAGTCATGGAACTCGATATCCATGAAGCAAGTAACTAAGCTTGCCATTCCCAGTCAAGATAGGCTGGATTATGACGAACTGCTTCTGGATCTTTATCATCTGAGATAAACTTGGATGGAGGTTTGGCAGATTTGTAGATGAACGATTGGAGATCATGGCCACGGATAGCTGATGTGATTTGGTGTTTCCAAATCAGAAAGTTGCTCTCATCCAGTTTGACCGAAACAAGATGGGAGAAGATAACTACATCCTTCTTGTGTTGAGAATGAGACGAAGTGGTTTCGGACGATGTCGACATGGCCTCAAGATCTGAAAGCTCTGGTACCATAAAGGTATTGTGAAGGAGAGAGAGGATGAAGAATAGGACAAAAGTGTTTGACTGAATAGTGTATTGTATATAATAATGAGAGCTTGTACACTATTTATAGAAGAGCACTACACGTAATAGGTAGAGCAGGAAGAGTACTATGCATGACAGCTAATGCCAGCTAACACATTTAGTTACATATAACTTAATCTCATAACTAAATTACTTAACTACACTATCAGAGGCAAATCATATACTACTGTAAGTGCACTACACACACATATATATGTTCGTAGGTATTATTGCTAATTAATAACTTGAGCCTTTTCATACGAAAGAGAAATGGGAGAAAGATATTCTGAACTGTATAGTATTTCACATCATTTAACAAGGAGCACAACTCATCTATGTATTTATATACAGCTAAGATAAATTGTAATGGACAGCTGGAACCAAAAACTGGTTCATCAGTTTTAACTCGTTGTTTTTTCGAACATAAGGCGTGCATGTGGATCCGCTGAAATTTGATCCGGAATTTGCTTTAACTTTGAGAACATCAG